TATCACGTTATAACGTGATAGCGCTCGGATTTTTTTTTCCTGCCTGATAGCAACACGCTTCCGTACATTATAGTATTGGAGAATCATCATCACGTTTAACTGAGGGGGTACTAGTGGTATGACAAAATGGCTCAGGGGGTACACAAGTCTAAAAAGGTTGAGAACCACTGCTGTAATGAACAGTAGAGAACATTTTTTTGTCTCTCATGCTTTTATTTATTAATTTTTTTGAGTTGTAGTGGAAACGTGAATATCTTCTCAACAAGAGACAGTCAAACTACTGTTCCTGTTAACTCATCTGATACTTCACCCTTAGGCCTTAGAACAAAGACTAGACTTCCTGTCACCAGTTAATTTGTTTATCACCTCTTTCAGAATAAGACTGGAATAAACATTGTTTGACATCAAAAGGGCACCTGATGTTAAACAAGGCGAGACAAAACATCAAAAGACTCCCATCAGATTTATCTGTGGGTCAGCAACGCCACCCTGTGGACATTTTATCTATTAACCCTGAAAATATTTTATTTTTCACCCATGTTTTCTGTTTATAACTATAAAAAGCATCTGTGAAGTGTCAAAACAATACCTTGGTACTCTGATTTAATTACTGTAATAATCATGACATTGTTTAAGTATCTGGTTTTGATTAATTATTACTCTGTTCTTCTGTTACATGTCCGGATAGGTCATGTGACCACCGCAGAAAGTTTTAACCAATGAGAAGTTCCGTTGTGAACAAGGAGTGTTTTCATTGTTCTGCCATGTGTAGAGTTGTAAGAAGCGTTTGAGGAGAGAGTAGTTTTTCAGCTCCAGCTTCCCCCCATCCCGGGGCAAGGCCATTCGTTTTTCCAACTTTATTTCCTTTTTGTAGTTTAATCTGAAAGTGATTTTCAGGAAGGAGATTTGCATTGATTGAAATGATGAGGCTGATTTAATTCAAGTCGGACGACAATCAGTGTGCCCACAAGGAACGCAGCCGCTGCGGTGCCTGGACCACATCTCCAGTGAATGCAGCCCGGCAATCCAGATGACCAGGGAACTTCTGCACAGCTAAGTCACAGACTCGGTTGGACTTCACGTGCCAGCCGTATAGTTGTTGGAGAATACTGATTCAGGAAGAAAAACAAAAACCACGTACCATTTCTTGCAAAGTTGGCGATGGCAAGGGCTCCAGAGAGCTGGAGCTGCGTGTTGGAGCTCTTCAGCCAGGAGAGAATATCCTGATAGACCACGCCTGATCCCTCACCAAAACACTTCTGCATAGACTCATCTGACACACACACAATGTTTCAAACAACAAACACTAAAGATGTTCCAAAAAAAAATCTGTCCATAAATTAAAACCAGAAAGGGTCAAATTTCATTGATAAACTAAAACATTTTCTACAAAAAAAAAATCTTGATGGGTGTGAATGCAGCCCTACTGTCCAAAATTCCAAGATCCATGATTTTCTTCTTTAAATTTCAATAATATTCAGGAACTTCTTGACAAAATGCTAATTTGATAACTGTACAAGGAGTATCGACACTCCTGCGTCTGTCACTCCCTGAAAGCTCTCTTTACGACTCAGGCAGGAGTGAAAACTACAACTTGTATTAAAAATGTTCCTGAACTGTAAGCAGCAAAAGCATCTGCTTTTAAACTCTTTTTTTTAAAACAATAACCTGTTAAAAGAGTGGACCGTCTGCCGCACCAAACCACCCACCTCCTAAAAGCAGCGACACGATGAGGTTGGACGCGATCTTTATGCTGCAGAGGTCATGGGGGTCCGAATGTCCCTGCAGGTCCCGGATCATTTCTGACAAAGCCTCCGGTACCCCCGACTCTGCGAACTGTAGCTTCAGAGCATCTGGTTGTGCAACAGAGAAGACTGGAAATATTTTATTTGTTACAGACACAGTATTCTCTGTACAGTCAGCTGCACAGGCATGAGGCGCAAACAGATTAAAAGTTGTATCTTGTATTTACAGAACAGATTCATTTAATCTGTTCCATAAACAGAAAATTTACTGATGTGTACACTTGCATAGTTTTCTACTCTTCCTGGAATTTGTTACTCTTAAAATGAAGCAGAATTCCATTCGATTCTGCATTTTTACTTTATAGGTTTATAAGTCCTAAGACAAGAATAATATTGACTTAGTATGGCTGCTGACAGGCGTCTTACCGCTCTCTCCCAGTGAACCCAGTATTTCCAAGATGACGTGTCGTCGTTCAGCATCAGGAGCACGTTTTAGCTGAGTGATCAGCGTATCGGCCACATCCAGTTCTGCCAAAGCCTCCCTGGCGCTGTCTGCAAACACAAACGTCTTTAGCTGATGACAAAAAATTATTATCCACTAAATATCTGGTGAAAATAGAAAAGTAGCTTTAAATAAAAAAGAGGCTATTTTCTCTATTTCTCTATTTTTTTCATGATTAGTTTGAGTTTTCATATTTGACCTGCCTTTGCCGTCATCAGAATGGTGCTTATGAAGACATTACGTTTGAATGTATAAGAAAAACAAGTTTAATAAATTGGAAGTTGGAAGAAGTTTGCAGAAAACTAATTGACTCTCTTCTAAAAAGGTTTATTCAAAAGTCTGACTTAATTACAGCTCACAGCAGCCTTATCAGAACCAAAACAATAATAACACTCTCAAGCAGGCCAGCGTCCGTCTCAAACAAAGAGGAAGACTAATGAAGAAAGATGAACCATCGACCCTGGAGGCAGTACCTTTTAGGTCATGAATTAGAATGTAAACCCACCTTTGYTAATGCTACAGAGTGGGACACATTGGAACTGACTCTCTCTGTTTAAAGCATATGACTGCAATGATCGTAAACTGTAAAATACAAGTCTGGATCTTAAATTCAGGTATTTAGTCATAAAATGTCCTTCAAATGAATGAATGAAGACATTAAATTACCGGTACTTGTGAAAAAATGCAAATGTTGGAAGCAACAAACAATACTGACTGAATTCAGATCAAATTAGAATTGGTTTCTTTGTGTATAAACTATTACAAAAGCATTATGATGGTGTTGATACTGCCAAAAAAGTGTTTATCATTGAGGGGGGAAAAGATTTAGTATATGTGAATAAAAGAGCTCTTTTCAAAAACTCAAACAGGCTCCAATAACCTGAGTTAAACCTTTTGTGTGTAATAAAATGAATCTGACATTAATTCTTTATTAAATGGACTAGATATTATTCACCCATGTCAGCCAGGTTGCAGAGGGCCAGCAGGCAGACGTTCACCAGCGGGTCGTTATTTGGATATTCCTTCATTATGGAGACCAGTCTGGGGATGACTCCACTCTGGACCAGCTGGTCCTGCTGGTATGCTGGGCAAAAAGGAAAACAAGTATGGTAGGTGAAACATGAAGGTGCTCAAACAGAACAGGAAAAATAAAGTTTTTGTTTCCTTTTAGATAAAAAATTTAACTTCTTTTTGCAACTTTTCTCAAAAAGAAAGTTGTATAAGTAAATGCAATAATAAAAAATACAAAAGAGTAAATAAGATATAAAAAAATGAACATAAATTCTTAATTTCTGTGACTCCCTTAAAATCATGTTTTTTTCTGTGAAGCAGCTTTCACTGGAATGTGAGCCGAGATCCAAGGAAACCTTTTAAATGACTAATAAACAGCTAAAKCCATAATAAATCCAACTGTAAACCCTTATTAAACCTTTTTATATACAATTCAGTTTTAAAATAGCACACTTTTTTTTACAAAACCACCTTCATGTACACACCACCAGCATCTAGTTTTGACAAATGAAATGATTTATTTAAAAATAATATTTACCTGAATGAATAAAAGTACACTTGATTTTACAAGCCTGCTTCTGTGTAACAGTGTTTTAAAACTGTTTAATGCTTTATACAGGTTTTATAAACTTGTGAACAACTTATTCATAAAGCATTCAAGTGGTGCCAACAGTTGTTATTCCACATAAAGAAACAAGCTTGCACTATTAATGGTAGTAAAAGTCTTGCTGTCTTATCCTGAGGACTCACTGTTGTCGAAGCAGATGCGTCCGATGGCCCTGCCGGTGTTCAGCAGCATTTCCTGATCGTTGCTGTTGAGATGAGGAACCAGAACCTTCACCAGGCCGGCCTCGATGCAGGGCTCTCTCACCGTGGCTACAAAGCAGGTCCACAAGTGTCAACATCTTGAAATCACTCAGAAAAGACTTTCTGCATTTTGAACAATTCATTAAAACTTTATGACCTTCCCCTATGAGCTCACTGATTTACATTTAAAAAAACACACACAACTGAAAGTTTATACCTTCTCGTGCCATTTCTGCCACCACCAAAGCCACCTGGCAGCTCAAACTGCTTTTGCTCTGTAGAGCTTGAGTCAGGATGGGCAGAATCCCACTCCTGGCGATCTCAACGGCTGCATTTTTCTCTGTGGAGACACATTTGTTCAAATGTACAAGTTCACAATTTTTTTATTTATTTTAGATTGTTGATTTGGTTTGAAACCAAAATCACTGGTGTCAGACTGTCACTTTCTCATATTTGGGTTGTTTTCTATTGGTTATACAGCACTCCTTATATGATCTGTGAGTGGGTAAATCTCCAGTCAGCCTTCAGTCAAACTATCGTACACATTTCTGTACAGATACTGTATGTTTTAAGGACTTACTCTTTTCAAGCAACGACGTCAACAATGTATCCAGATGAGGCTTAAGCTCGTCCTCAATCAGCTCTGTGCTCACACTGATGGCTTTCAGTGCCTCACTTAGAGATTCTGCAAAATATGTTCAAACACAGGCATCATTAGACACTATAGCCTGGTTTTAGGGCTGCACGATATTAGGAAAACCTGCGATATGCGATAACAGTGCTTAATATTGCGAGAAGACCTCCAGATGTTCCTCAACAATTCTGAGCAATTTCTGATGTAGCATTTCAAAATAATGGCACTCCCATTATTGACAGTACCTTTAATGTTACCCTAAGTTGCTGTCTTTATTGTAACTAAACGGGTAGTTTTCAGAGACTGATCTCACTTCACACTAACTCTAGAAGATCTCCTGATATGACGTGTGATAAATGAAAAAATATGTATGTATATGTAGTGTTGATATCTTTCTGCTCTGGGTTCAAAGCCCAAAAAACAACATTAAAAAAATCATTTCCATACCAGCCTGACTTTTTTTTTTTTAATTGACCAAATACATGAAGGGCTCTACTGTATTTGATTGGTGAAATATTTCAACAAAATTTCAACCATTTAATGCAGTTTGTACAGTTGTTGCCAGATGCATATCGCGATGGTGATAAATTTTCGATAGATTGCGCAGCCCTTTATGTATCTTGTGCACACGTTTTTCCCTAAATCAAGATGATGTAAACAGTGCATTCTTAAGTCCCTAATTCATTCAAACTAGCTTGGGAATCAGGGTTCCCACACCTTGGTCAACATCAGATTCAAGGATCTTTCAAGGACTTTCTAGTACCGTCCGTCCATCCATCCATCCATCCATCCATCCATCCATCCATTTTCTGTACACGCTTCTTCCTTTTCAGGGTTGCGTGGGTCACTGGTGCCCATATCCAGCAGTCACAGTGCAAGGGGCGGGGTACATCCTGGACAGGTCGCAAGTCCATCACAGGGCCACTTTCCTCAAATTCAAGAACCATGTGCGATGGCAATACTGCTACCACAGAATGTTACCAAGAAACAGGTTTAATATCATGTAAATTCAATGAAAAACTGAACAACATAGAAGTTGTTGAGTCAGAATCAATGAAATAAAGTGGATTAAATGTTTCCCCTACATTCATATCTACRCTACACGGACATGTAATTATGTCCTGGGAGGATGGGCAGCTCAGTTTGGGAGGAGGGGATGTGAACATGTCTAGATGCTCAGTGAGGACAGGAGGAACTGTGGTGCTTCACCTGGGCTCAGAAAGAACGACCCGCCCTACTCTGCTCTGATTGGCTAAAACTATGACTATGGCTCACGTTATTTGTTGAAAGCCACATCAGTTTACTGTAATCCTGTCATCCACCGCAACAAATTTATTTATTTTTTTTACAGATGATGAAAATCAGTGGTGTGAATAGAGAACTCCAATCCCCAAAAAACACTCAAGGACTTTCAAGGGCAAGTGTAATTTTTAGCTGTTTTCACAAACTGTCCAGGGCCTTGAAATAATTTTTTCTAATTCACAAACTTTCAAGGATTTCAAGGACCCGTGGGAACCCTGGGGAATGCATCCGTGACCCACTGAGGCGGTGGAAACATCGGCCAACATGATTGGCCCAGGGGTTTTGATAAGTGACACAATTTACAGACCTAAAGATCAGTGGTTAAAATCCTGCTGTTGACCAGCCTCCAGTAACTTCTGAATGTGTCTACATGAGCTAAAACAGCCTCTAAAGAACAGGACAGGCTGGCAAAGGTTCTGATTAAACTGGGCATTAATGAGGAGAGTGAAATAAAAATTGGGTTGTGTTGAATATCTACTACACAAACAACTATATGGAAGTACAGACGTGTCAAAACTCAACAAGAGAAAAACAACTCAGGGCTCCAATTTTGGTCAACAGACTGGTGAAACAGCTAAAAGCTGAAGAGGTTTGCTGAATACTCTGCTGAATAAAGAAAGCAACAATGACGCATCAAGAATAGCAGCATGAAGAGCCCAGAATATGCAACAGCAGCTCTGGTCGCAGCACTATTTCTGCTTTTGAACCCCCTCCAGACATCAGAACAAAGCAGAACAGTTTCAAAGTGGAGCAATCATCGGCCACCTACTCTATATGACTATACTAAGCTAAAAGGTCTGGAGTGCATGAAATATCAGAGTCCACAGCAAATAAATCAGAACATTATGTGAACTGGATAAACTAAGTCCAGTTCAGGAGGTGGTCTCAACTGAAAAGGCCGAACAAGCAGCAGACGTTAGGGATACCTGGTCTCCCATTGGTCAACACGAGTCAGTCACAACCAACAAAATGCAAGGCAGGTTTTTAAGAACCAGCTGTGATGATAAAATAAAGTCAAACAGATCAACGCATACAAATATACAAAGGCACTCTGGATTTGAAAATTCAAAATGGCTGACACTGTTTTGAGAAATACTGAGGGGAAATTTTGTGTGATCAAAGCTAAGAATGATCCAAACAATGTGCTGCATGCTAGTCACAATTTGTTATTGGACATACAAAGCAGAAGATTAGTGTAGAAGTAGTCAAAAACTTTCTTGACCCAATTCTATATGCTAATCGAAAATCAACATGGCCATCACAGCTAATTTTAAAAAGCTAAAATTCAGCCATTTAAAGATTTATTGAGATGAAATTTGTTGTGGGGTAGCTGAGAATGATAACATGCTGATTAGCAATGCTAATCTCAAATTAGGCTAACCACAGATGCCAATGCAAATTTTTCCAAAGGTTACAATTTAGCTATTTTTAAAAAAAATACACAGCAAAAAATATATAGTACAGAGAACAATCTAACATAATCTAAACGCAAATATAAAATCCAAGACCCTCACCTACTTGTCAATTATTTGGGTGTGGCACCTGTGGTGGTCTATCAGATGCAAAGAGTGGCCCTTGCCACCTCAGCCACCCCTCTGGCTCCACCCCTGGATCGATGCATTGTTACTCCCCTAGGTGTTATAGGAAGATGTAGCTAATAAAGTGGTCAGTGTATTATCAGATTCCACTTTGTATGCATAAAGTATAAAGGTTGTTTTGCAAAGTTGTTCAATATTGAGGTTCTTTTTTAGTGGATGGACAACTGATTTGGACCAATTACCACAACACACCCTTTACTTTCATTAAAAAAAATACTGAAAGCTTACAGTGCATATAAAACAACACATTTCAAACACATGCAGCAGGAAGTAACCTGCAGATGATAAATACAACAGGTAATCCCTCCAGAGTGGGACTAAAATAGCCTGAGCAGGGAGGGGTATTTGACTGACTCCAACCTGCGACGTCAGGATCTAACCCCGTGTCCTTGTGTGTGCAACTGTCTGTGACCAAGTGCCTGTGTGTGTGTGTGTGTGTGTGTGTGTGTGTGTGTGTGTGTGTGTG